TGTGAAATTTAAAGGTGTTAAATTACAAATTTCCATAGTAACGAGTTATATTCCTACATCTACCCGGATTGTGTAAAATATGATGAATTTTTACTTGTGATTTATTATAGTAAAATTAATGAATGTGTCAATTTATTTTATTGATTAAATCAGGAACGGCTCACTCCATTTTCCAGAAAATTTTGGGAATACAATACTGTTATTTTTAGTATTACAATGCACCAATCCAATGTATCCTTACAAAAATGTAATTACAAAATTCTGTCAAGTAAAAACTCAACTCAAAAATGGTGGATATGTTTTTCTTAATTTTTTGGTAATTTTTTTGCACCTTTTTTAGTTTTTTGTGTTTCTTTTTGTATTTGGATAAGTGATTCCCACTTTCATGTTGTTTATGAGGAAATTATCCTCTGACGCACATTCTGGGAGAAGATGCAACTAATATAATACATATACATTTTACCTTGCTGCATTTACCACGGGGAAAACCTGATTTAACAGTACTCTAACTGGCCTTTCCCGTAAACAAGTACCATAAAAGATGACACACGTCGACAGGTTTTGAAAACACCTGCAAACCATCAGATTTTTACTACACAATTAGCAATTACAAGCTCAACATTCAATCGTGACTCCGACGCCGTCTCCTTCATCGTTTCATCTTTTTTATGTAAGACATCCGGTCGCCTTCGGCGCGAATAAAATCTCTTTTCGGGAATAAGATAAATGAAAACGGAGGAAAATTACGATTTGACATTTTATTAACCTTTGAAACGCCCACGCTAAATTCAGTCGAAACGCAAAATTTGATGCAGCACGAATTTATTTCTTTCGGCTCGTAAAAGCGTAATTCGACACTGCAACAACGTCGAAAAACGAAAAATTACGGGTATTCGGTGGATTCTTGTTTATTATATTACTAGCTGACCCCGTGAACTTCGTTTCACCTACAATTTAATTTTGAATCTGCAAAATCGAATGCTTTGAAATCTTGCAGATGTTTTAAACATATGATAAGCATAATAAATTTTTATTCAAAATATATTTACTTATCCCCTCCAAAAAATTGATGACACCAGTCCAAAATTTTGACAAATGAATCCTATCTAAAATGTCCAAAATAGGATGAGACTATACTTGTGATTTATCATTCCATTCATATTTTTTAGTTTTGCTTATAGGGGGTGTCTCAAAAAAATGAATCACTGAGTCAATTTATTTTATTGATTGAATCAAGAATTGCAAAACTGAATTTTGAAATATTGCAGAGGTTTTGAAGTTACTGTTTGACATGGTAGGTTTTCAATCAAAATATATCAGTTTATCAAGCCCAAAAACTTGAAGACGTCATCTCAAGATTTTGCCTAATAAATCCTATCTAAAATGTGGAAAATATCATCAGTATATTTTCGTAATTTATCATTGCATTCATATTTTTTAGATTTGCGAAAAACAAAGAACGATTTGAAATCCAATATACTTTTCACAATTGCACGAAAGAATTAGTTTTGTATGACACGTCAGTTAGACGACGTGTCCGTCAGAAACGCCAACTATTCAAATTACTTCGAAGTGGCGATTCCCATACAAAATTTTTAGAATTTTTTTATTTTTTAACTGTTCTTTTAAGTTTTCCTTACTTTTTTTATTTATAAACCACCCCCGTAATATAAAAAAAATCTTCAAATCGGTCAAGCCGTTTTTGAGTCTTAGCGAGACTAACAGGAACAGCAAGTGATTTTTATTATATAGACGATTAAAAAATGGGGGTTGGTGGTAGAAAGGTGAAAATTTAGGGTTATATGTATTTCTTGATGCCAATTCTTAAAAAAATAAAAATAAAAAATTTTGTCCAAAAAATAGACAAAAATTTTTTAGGGTAGGCCACCCTTATCACTTAGGGGTTTAAAAATAGTTTACAACCTATTTTCAGACCTACCGAATATACATAAAAAATTTCATACAAATCGGTCAACCCATTTCGGAGAAGTTCGGTTACAAACACTGTGACGCGAGAATTTTATACATAATGGATTATTATTTTAGAATAAATTTCATTACCATAAAAAAGGTTATACTGATTCGACCTTAAAAAATAGACATATGCTAACGCGTACTTTTCTTTAGAACTTTTAGAGGGGAACAATTTCGTCATACATGATTTTTACGTAACTTTAACCGTTTAAGCAGCGTAAGCAACGGAAGCTGTCAAAGGAGGAATAATTTTCCCGTTTTTCCGAATTTTTCATTGCTACTTCGCTCCTAATGATCGTAGCGTGATGTTGTATAGCCTATATGTAGATATGATACATGGACTATCCAACATAAAAAGATTTTTTGAATTTGAACCAGTACCCAGGCAACATGATGTCGTCTTTTTAACGTGAATAAATGGTCATCATTTACGTCATAGTGACCAAAGATTTCACGTGATATTGACGTACCAATGACGGTCAAATGTCTCGTCTAGATGACGTCATTTTCTCACGAACTATTGACGTGATGTACTGACGTCCTAGAGTCGTCATTTTGTAACGAATTATTGACGTGATTTACTGACGTCCTAGAGACGGCATTTATTGTCAATTTTAAGACGTTTTTTATATTTTGATTTTTAGAAAAAAATATGCAATAAATAAAACGCTGAAATAATTTTATTTTTTTATATTGTTTAGCTTAAATAAAATATTATAATTCGTTATAATCACCAAGTAAAGCCCAAAACAAAGTATATATTAATTAAAGTTAAAACAAATTAGTGTAAAAAAATTAAATTTACTACAATTTTGTACAACCAACAATGAACTTCAATAAACAAGTAAAAAATATGTCAGTTAAACAAATTAAAGATAAACCACTCCTAAGAACACAAACAAATCTACATACAGGTAATTACGAGTATAATTAGTATAAATAAAAAAAAGGATATTGTACAATATATAATCAAAAATAAACGTTGTAATAAAATTTGCTATTTAAAGAAAAATCAGTTTTAAAAACACAAAGAAATCTATTTAGTTACAAAGAATATTAAAAAAAAAACTATAATAAACTATAGATCAGTCTTAAAAACACAAACAAATCTATTTACAAAAAATATTTTAAAACAACTATAGAATAAAGGCAAAAGACAATTGAATCGCATTGTTGAAGTTACTTGATTGAAAATGCACTGTAAAACGACAGTATATGTAAAACTATCTAATTCACGACGACTTGACTGTCCCCAACACACAAAAAAGTACCGTCAAGAATTAATTCTGTTTTAACAATCATATCTATAACCTAAGTTTTTTAAGTTTGCCTCAATTTATTGCACTGAAAAGAAAAACCCGTTAGAGTGCGTGGATTAATGGAAATGCAATCATTTTTTCATCATATGGGCAATATCAAGCATTTGACTAGTATTAAATTTAAGGGATTACAGCTTAAAGCAGAAGACAAATTCTGTATTTTAAAAATGCTAAATTTACTTGAATCTAACGGATAATCGTAAAATTGTTGCATTGACAAAAACGTACAGCCTATCAGGAAAATCTCGTTGTCAATACTTTTTACAATGAAGCGAAATGTGTATGTGTAAATAGTAAGTTACCAAAAAGTATCGTAGTATTACAGGCATCTACCTATATATAATATCCAATATTAATGTTATATATGTATATCTGAATTCATTGTATTTTTTTAACTTACAAAGAAATCTGCTTGTTCTAATATGCAAACATAATCTTGTAATTCGTCAAAATTTGTTTAGGTGTGGTTTTGGCGGCATAATTTCTGTTTTTGTTTTCTTTTTCAGTTGTCAGATTTGATGACGTTTCCATGTTGGAGATTTTTTCACTCGTTTCCTTTAGCATTTCTTTCGTTTGGCACATGTGTTTTGTATTTGTTTCAAATCTAAAATAAAATTATGTTCATTAGCATTAGTTCGTAAAAAATTGCAGTAACATACCTTTGCAATATTTTATAGCGCCTCATTTTCAAAAACAATCACCGTAAGTTCTTCATAATCAGTGGGAGTATCTTCAGTGATTAATGGTGGTCTTTCCAGCTTATCTGAAAAAACTGCTTTTGTTATCTACGTACAGTTATCAAAAATAACAGAAACACGTAAAAATTAAAATGATTACTTTATTTGATATTAACTTACCTACTATAAATAAGTACAACCCACACTGACTGGCATAAATTTGCACAAAACTGCGTTAAAGTTGAAGTGAGTAACGGATACACGAGAAAGTTTCGGTGGTTGAGAACCAACTGGAACTATTGGAATGCTTCTCTGTGAAGTGCAATAAACATAAATACCGAAAAAAGGGAAAGTCCGAATGCACACCCCAAACATCTGATGTATTGTATAGTAAATATGGATAAGGATAAATTTAATAAAACTGAATATGAATCACTCTCGAATTTTTTTGGTAACCGTCATCACTTTATAAATAAACGTCTTTATAAAATCAAAATTCGACGAAGGAATTCTTCAAAACCTTGTCCCGTTTTAGGGACAATGGACAAAGAATTTTTATGACTTTGTTTGTGTCGTTGGGTCTTTTCGCTCAACCCCAGATGTTCTATTTATAATTTGCCAAGCAGGTAGCAGGTACTTACAAAATAACACTTCCAGAGTAAACAAGTTTTCAGAAATAATTATTTTATTAGAAATTATTACAATGAAAAAACTTGTCTTTGGTGTATTTCTAATTAAGCCGTTGTATTTTTTGCTCTAAATATAATCAAGCATTATGAAGGCCACTTTTTAAAGAATACGACGACCCACATCTAATTGATCATATAATCTATAAAAAATGACGAAGAAAGGACGGCCTTTTGACGTCATTAATTGACGTCAGAAGTAAGTCATAAAAATCTCGTCATTTTCACGTGATTTTTTCGGCGAATGACGTCGCCGACCAGTTATGACCAAAAATTGACGTGAATTAGACGACAGTATTATATAAGTATAGATATAGAAGTATAGATTTTGGTTGGTTGCGCAGGCAACGCCGAGGTGTACATCATGCTGGCCCTGCTCATCGGGCTGGTGACCGTGGTGATCGGGTGCTGGCTGTCCGACAACTGCTGGTCGCCGGACCCGGAGGGCCACGTCGTCACCGTGGCCTGACCAACACCGAAACCCCCCCTCAGCCCGGACATCCCCATCAGCATCGTCAGCGTGTCGTCCTCGACCTCCTCCAGACCCTCGAGCCCCGAGAGCGACTGGCCGCTCGTGGAGCCCTCCGACGGCGACTCCATCAACCTCTGACACCACGCTCTGTGCGACAAGAAGGAGACCGAGCCGTGTGAGCTCCACAAGATGGAGAACGGTTACGCGTACCAGATGGACGGGAGCGTGCTCATGAGCTGAACGGTTGACCGCCCCAGAGGTGGCGCACTCGATGTGTTTTATGTGAAATTATAAGTTGTCAATTGTCAATTAGGGGTTCCGATTTTGATTCTTCTGACCTTTCACCCCGTGTTTATTAAGGTGCCTTTTAGACTTAGGCCTTTTTTTTTCGTACTGACCTCGAGTTCTTGGAGCCGGTGGAGATTTATGGTTTTACATAAAATGCACGGGTTTTTCAAGGGAAATCGATCTGTCGCTCGGTGTTGTATGTATCGTGTAAAGTCGGCTTAAGATTTGGTTGAGGTATATTCGGTTTGTTCTGTTTTGATGATTTCGTATTCCGAGACTGCAATTGCCAAAACGGATTTGTACAAGTGAATTCCCTTCTGTTTAGTTCGAACTGGACGGTCGAAGGCCATGGTGGGGGTTTTGGGCGCGCGAAATGTGGTGGCAGCACTGAAAGGACACCGAAACAGAATTTCCGTTCTACAGAAACTATCAGAAAATTCAAAATAAAATTTTCCGGTCGTACAGATTTTTAAAGCTCTCAGCAGAGTTCCAAAAATTCCCAAAGGTATGCGTCGTTTTTAACTACAAGGGCCATTTTACCCTATTTTCTTAATATATTCTATAAACACAACAAGAAAGGTAAAACATGTGTAAAATGGTACATTTTTGTAGGAAATTTTGCAATTAAACTCCGCCCCTCGGTCTGACAACATATGAAAAGTTCCTCATAATTGAGCTTGGGATGAATATAGGTGGGGCTTAATTTTTGGCATCTTTTTTATTTCTTGTAGAGAAATAAGAATTTTGCAATTAAGCTCCACCCCCTTGGCTCACGACGAATAAAAACATTACATTTTGCCTTTTTTTTCCTTAAAATGTGTAGTCATATTTTCACAACAAGAAACTTAAAACATGATTAAAATGGTCCATTTCTGCAAGAAAATATGGATCTTGCAATTATGGGTGGAGCCTAATTGCAAAATCGATACTTCCGTATACAAATTTTCCATTTTAAACATGTTTTAAGTTTCATGTTCTGAAAAGAAGTGTACACATTTAAAAAAAAGGCAAAATCTAAACCCGCCCACCCGCCCTATCCCAATAGTGATGATTTGTTTTATTCGCCGTGAACAAAGGGGCGGAGTTTAACTGCAAATTATTTATTTCTTTACAACAAATTAAAAATGAGTATCGCGTTGTACAAAGAATTCAGCATATATACATATATTAACAAAAAAAGGCAAAATATAAACCCCGCCCACCCACCCCATCTTATTTGTGATGATTTTTTGATTGTTAGAAACCTAAAACACGTTTAAAATGGTAAATTTTTGTAAAGAAATATGGATTTTGCAACTAGGCTCCGCCCCTAGGTTTGCCAACGAATGACAACTTCATTACTATTTATCTACTACTATCACGATATTCAAAAACATGTCTTACCTGGTAATTTTTTGTAGAGAAATAAGGATTTTGCAATCAAGTTCCGCCCCCTTGGTTCACGACGATTAAAAAAAACATTGAGATCATAAATTGAGATAGGGTGGGTGGGCGGGACTTATATTTTGCATTTATACTATTTTGATGATGTTATTTTTCGACTTCGATGGTTTAGAGTTTCGGCTGTTCAATTTTTCGATTTCCGGATTTATCGAGCTTTCCATATTTCGATTTGCAAAATTTTTCGATTTTTCCATTTTTTTTTTTATTTTTCGATTTCTCGATTTTTCAGTTTTTCTTCGATTTATCAATTTTTCCATATTTTAGTTTTGGAATTTTTCAACATTTCGATTTTTCAATATTTTGATTTTTGAAATTTTTGTTTTCTCAATTTTTTTATTTTTCGATTTTGCAGTTACATTTTGAATGTTTCTATTTTTCGATTTTTGGAAATTTCGGTTCGAATAAATTTGTCCTTTCAGTTAAAAAATCGAAGAATGACAAACCGTGAAAATGAAAAATTTTAAATTGAGAGAAACAAAAAATTGCAAAATCGCAAAGTTAAAAATTGAAAAATCAAAAGATTGTATTTGAAAAATGCGAAATTGTCAAATAAATTGTCCAATGAAATATTCAAAAGTTGAAAAATCTAAAAACTAAAAAAAAATGAAAACTGGAATTTCGAATTCGATTTTATAAGATTTGTTTTTTTTCCAATCTTCCGATATTTCGATTTCTGATTTTCCGATTATACAGTTGTACAGTTTTCCGATTTTTCAATTTGTCGATTTTTCCATTTTTTTATTTTTCGATTTTTCGGCTTTTCGGTTTCTCGATCTTTCAATTTTTCTTCGATTCATCAATTTTTCCATATTTTAGTTTTGGGATTTTTCAGTTACATTTCGAATTTTTCTGTTTTTCGATTTCTCAAAATTTCGGTTCGAATAAATTTGTTCTTTTAGTTAAACAATCGAAAAATGACAAATCGTGGAAATGAACAATTTTAAATTGAGAACTTGAAAAATTAAAAATCAAAAAATTGCAAAATCGTAAAGTTAAAAGTTGAAAAATCAAAAGACTGGATTTAAAAAATACAAAATCGTCAAACAAATTGTCCAATGAAATATTCAAAAGTTGAAAAATCTATAAAAACTAAAAAAAAATGAAAACTGGAATTTCGAATTCGATTTTATAAGATTTGTTTTTTTTTCAATTTTCCGATAATTCGATTTCTGATTTTCCGATTACACAGTTGTACAATTTTCGAATTTCTCATTTATCCGATTTTTCAATTTGTCGATTTTTCGATTTTTTTATTTGTCGATTTTTCGACTTTCGATTTCTCGATCTTTCAGTTTTTCTTCTATTTATCAATTTTTCCATATTTTAGTTTTGGGATTTTTCAACATTTCGATTCTTCAATTTTTTGATTTTTGAAATTTTGATTTTTCAATTTTTTATTTTTCAATTTTTCGACTTCTAAATTTATCGAGCTTTCGACGTTTCGATTTTTCGATTTTGCAGTTACATTTTAAAATTTTCTATTTTTCGATTTTTCAAAATTTCGGTTCGAATAAATTTGCTCTTTTAGTTAAAAAATCGAAGAATGACAAATCGTGAAAATGAAAAATTTTAAATTGAGAACTTGAAAAACTAAAAATCAAAAAATTGCAAAATCATAAAAATAAAAAATGAAAAATCAAAAGGTTGGATTTAAAAAATGCAAAATTGTCAAACAAATTGTCCAATGAAATATTCAAAAGTTAAAAAATCTAAAAACTAAAAAAAAAATGAAAACTGGAATTTTGAATTCGATTTTATAAGATTTGTTTTTTTTTCAGTTTTCCGATATTTCGATTTTTGATTTTCCGATTACACAGTTGTACAATTTTCCGATTTTTCATTTATCCGATTTTTCAATTTGTCAATTTTTCCATTTTTTTTATATTTCGATGTTTCGGCTTTCGATTTCTCGATCTTTCAATTTTTCTTCGATTTATCAATTTTTCCATATTTTAGTTTTGGAATTTTTCAACACTTCGATTCTTTGATTTTTGAAATTTCGGTTTCTCATTTTTTTTGATCTTTGAAATTTCGATTTCTCAATTTTTTGTTTTTCAATTTTTCGACTTCTGAATTTATCAAGCTTTCGACGTTCCGATTTTTCGATTTTGCAATTACATTTTGAATTTTTCTATTTTTCGATTTTTCAAAACTTCGGTTCGAATAAATTTGTTCTTTTAGTTAAAAAATCGAAGAATGACAAATCGTTAAAATGGAAAATTTTAAATTGAGAAATTGAAAAATTAAAAATCAAAAAATTGCAAAATCGTGAAGTTAAAAATTGAAAAATCAAAAAATTTGATTCAAAAAATACAAAATTGTCAAACAAATTGTCCAATGAAATATTCAAAAGTTGAAAAATCTAAGAACTAAAAAAAAAATAAAACTGGGATTTCGATTTCGATTTTATAAGATTTGTTGTTTTTTTTTTTTTCAATTTTCCGATATTTCGATTTCTGATTTTCTGACTATACAGTTGTACAATTTTCCGATTTCTCATTTATTCGATTTTTCAATTTGTCGATTTTTCCATTTTTTTATTTTTCGATTTTTCGGCTTTCGATTACTCGATCTTTCAATTTTTCTTCGATTTATCAATTTTTCCATATTTTAGTTTTGGGATTTTTCAACATTTCGATTCTTCAATTTTTTGATTTTTGAAACTTCGATTTCTCAATTTTTTGATTTTTGAAATTTCGATTTCTCAATTTTTTTATTTTTCAATTTTTCGACTTCTGAATTTATCAAGCTTACGACGTTTCGATTTTTCGATTTTGCAGCTACATTTTGAATTTTTATATTTTTCGATTTTTCAAAATTGCGGTTCAAATAAATTTGTTCTTTTAGTTAAAAAATCGAAGAATGACAAATAGTGAAAAAGAAAAATTTTAAATTGAGAACTTGAAAAATTAAAAATCGAAAAATTGCAAAATCGTAAAGTTAAAAAATGAAAAATCAAAAGATTGGATTTAAAAAATGCAAAGTCGTCAAACAAATTGTCCAATGAAATATTCAAAAGTTGAAAAACCTAAAAACTAAAAAAAAATGAAAACTGGAATTTCGATTTTATTAAGATGTTTTTTTCAATTTTCCGATATTTCGATTTCTGATTTTCCGGTTATACAGTTGTACAATTTTCCGATTTCTCATTTATTCGATTTTTCAATTTGTCGATTTTTCCATTTTTTTATTTTTCGATTTTTCGGCTTTTCGATTTCTCGATCTTTCAATTTTTCTTCGATTTATCAATTTTTCCACATTTTAGTTTTGGGATTTTCAACATTTCCATTCTTCAATGTTTTTATTTTTCCCTTTTTCGACTTCTGAATTTATCAAGCTTTCGACGTTTCGATTTTTCGATTTCGCAGTTACATTCTGAATTTTTCTATTTTTCGATTTTTCAAAATTTCGGTTCGAATAAATTTGTTCTTTTAGTTAAAAAATCGAAGAATGACAAATCGTGAAAATGAAAAATTTTAAATTGAGAACTTGAAAAATTAAAAATAAAAAAATTGCAAAATCGGAAAGTTAAAAATTGAAAAATCAAAAGATTGGATTTAAAAAATACAAAATTGTCAAACAAATTGTCCAAAAGTTGAAAAATCTAAAAACTGAAAAGAAATGAAAACTGGAATTTAGAATTCGATTTTATAAGATTTGTTTTTTTTTTCAATTTTCCGATATTTCGATTTCTGATTTTCCGGTTATACATTCTCATTTATCCGATTTTCAATTTGTCGATTTTTGTTTTTTTATTTTTATTGTTTTAGAAGAATAAGTTGTCTGCCAAAATAAATCTTATCTTGGCAAGTACTAGCCCCGCCCACCCACCCTTATTTTTTTAGAGGATATGTCATTTGCCAAAATTAGTCTTATCTTGACAAGTACTAGTGCCGCCCACCCACCCTTTATTTTCTTAGAAGAGTGGGACCTCTGCCAAAATCAGTCTTATCTTGACAAGTACGTAGTCGTTTTTTCAGAACAAGAAACTTAAAACATGTTTAAAATGGTATATTCTTGTGGACAAATATGGATTTTGCAATTAGGCTCCGCCCCTAGGTCTGCCAACGAATGAAAAGTTCATTACTATTTAGATCAGGGCAGGTATGGGTGGGGCTTAATCTTTGGCTCTAATTTTTTCTGTGAATAACATGATACTCTAAAACATGTCTTACCTGGTAATTTCTTGCAGAGAAATAAGGATTTTGCAATTAAGCTGCGCCCCCTTGGCTCACGACGAATAAAAAAATCATCAGAATTGAGATAGGGCGGGTGGGTGGGGCTTATATTTTGCCTTTTTTCTTTATATATGCAGTCGCCTTTTTGGAACAAGAAACTTAAAACATGTCTAAAATGGTAAATTTTGTAGACAAATATGGATCTTGCAATTAAGCCCCGCCCCTCGATCTGACAACGAATGAAAAATTCGTCACAGTTGTGAATTGAGGTCGGGGTGGGTATGGGTGGGGCCTAATCTTTGGCTTTATTTTTTTCTTAATATAGATAATATTCTTTGAAGAACACGATACCCAAAAACATGTTTTAAATTTCTCTTAGGGAAATAAGGATTTTGCAGTTAAGCTCCGCCTCCTTGGCTCACGACGAATAAAATAAATCATCACAATAGAGATAGAGTGGGTGGGTGGGGCTACGTTTTGCTTTTTTTTTTTTCTTAATATATGTAGACTTATTTCGACAACAAGAAACTTAAAACATGTCTAAAATGGTAAATTTTTGTACAACAGGAACTTCAACGTCAACAGTAAGTTTAAAATCGAAAGTCCTAGAAATACTCTAACTTTGGGGAACCTTCAAAGTTCCGAAAAATTAATTTTTTTGGAAAACAAAAAAATCTTAGATTGCTTCCAGATTGTTTCATTAATACTATAAACTTCCGAAAACTTCAAAAAGGTTGAGATTTTCACCAAAATTTCAAAAATCGCACCGCTTTGCAAAAAAAAAACTTCCAACTATTTCAGGTTTTCAAAAACAGGAAATTTTGGAACTCCTTCAGTGCCACCAGCCGTTTTCCGTGCGCCCAAGACCCACCATGGTACCATGGGACTCATCCACTGGGCAAACCACGCGGATCCGCGTCTCAAAATCCGGTGTGCGAACCGTTCGAAGCGGTTTGTACACTCAAAACTGCAATTGTCAATTAATAGATAGCAACAATTGGAGATGAATGTCTAGTATTACACTTGTTTTCCTCGGATCAAGCAGCCTTCGATTTTTTTTACAGTGTCTAGACATAGTTTGCTTGATCTACACAACACTAAGCTTAATTATCGGCAATTATAGATGTTGTAGAATCGTCTACTTAATGTAGAACCTATCATATCAGCCTGCCTTTCTGTGCTGTGCCTCTCTACACAACCTGATCTAATACCATCCCTCCTCGACGCCAACTCCGGCAAGTTTCGCACTTGACCCGGCCGAACAAACATTTTGGTGCCACCTTCCGCCGCTAGACGTCGTCTCGTAAACTTGTCGGAGGACACAAGAACTCCGAAGATTCAGTGCGTTGTAGTACGTCAACCCGCGCTGAATCTTATTTCGAGGAAAAATGACGCAATCTGATCCATTTTTCACGAAGATAGAGTCGATTCTAGGCCGCCCCTGTGACAAAATGCGTTCTTATGAAAGTTGAATGGTTTCGGACAAGGGGAGTGTCTAGGACGAGAAATGGAGTTCGCGCTTTATCAAAGGCCTAATTAAACTAAATTTTCGTTTGAGGTGTACGAGCCCGTTTCATAACACTTACAAGTTAGCATGCTGTGTTTAGTGTCTTCTGCTACCACCAGTCTTGTAATTTTTATGAAAAGAGCACTTAGGTATTGAATTGATATCTTGTAAATAAGCTTGTATTAAGACTGATTTCATATAAAGATGTTTAAAGATATAAAAGGAAATGTTAATACTGTTTAAATAAAAATACGACTAAAGGGATATCACCGGGTGCAAGCTAAATTACTAAAACAACAAAGGCGATTTTAATTTAATTTGCACCTCATGTTAAATGCGACGCAAGAAATTCATCTAATTCGTTTTCGTAGATCTAGTACCTGATTTTCATTACTGCCAACGTTGTGGACTAATAAATCACCAGATCGACCTCGAATCTACCAAACTTTTGTCAATACGTGTACATGGAGAGACCAAAGCTTTGAATTTCTTGTAAATAATACACCATGTTAAAAACAAGCTAAAAACGGCCTAAACTTTAGATTAAAGCTGCAGCATTATCGTTTATCGCTAGCTATTTTTCTTTACCCTAATTTCGCTTAAAAACAATTGCTCAATCTGTACATATTTAGTTAGATAATTTAGTTGTACTTGACTCTGTTGACATTTCCCCGCAGGGACTTGTCGGTAAGGGTTGCCAACCACCTTTAATTACTTGCATGATAGAGGGAACAATATTACATTAGTGTTAATGTATCCTAAAATTTACTAGCCCGTTTTTAACTGTCAGACCTAATTAAGATTGACGATATTGCAACGATATTTGTACCAGATGTATTTACTCATGAAATAAACCAAACTAAGTGACAGCGCTTCAATCTCCACACCCAACCCACTTCAAACAATCAATCAAGTACACGTCCGTAACGGAAATTTATTAAAAAAAAAAACACTAATTAATCGTTCCATATTAATTAATCCTATCGTAACAATAGAAAAATAATTTATATATTAATGACTCTCGAGAGTTTCTGCACGCGCGTCAGCAGTAGATCTCCTTGTTTCACGACTGAATTAAACTGTGCATTTTTCAGGTCAGGACGATTTGTTTCCACAATTCCACCAACTCTATCAATTTTACAATGCAATCTTCCGGCGGCAATAAAAGTCGATAATTCCCTGCAAAAACATGATTGATTTTAGTGCTTCGAGCTATGTAGAACTTACGAGTCAATAAATTCAACCGTCACGCCGAACGCTTCAGCCATATATTGCAAAGTTAATGATCTGTAAGACTCGAGTAACTGCGTGTACGCTGAAATCTTCATTTCACGAATGTAGTAGCGATAGTGGGGGTTCAGGAAGTAGTCTTTCCGCAGAATTGTCTCCACTTCAGCTAGGTTATTGAAAAACTCAGAGTATTGGCAGTTGTATAAAGAGAAAAGGTAGTCTTTGACAAAGGGTTCAGAGTGAAGGACTTCCAAAATTTCAGACCCTTTGACAACCTATGAAAACACAGTTAACACACTTGTTTTGTAAAAATGACTTAAGTTACTTTATCTCTGAGTTGATTCCTAGGGAGGCTGATAATTGAGGTGTATACAGTATAGCGCACGAACGCTTTATAATCCATCAACTCATAAGACGTAAACGTGCTCACGGTATCCAGAAACAAATTCGCGGCAGTTTTAAAATCACGGACCGCCATGCAATAAGCACCTTGATAGACCTTCAACCTGTTTCGCCTGTCCCAATCGCCACCTTCCTCGATCAAACTGCAACAATTTTGTTAATTACAGTTCAAACACGACATTGACGTACGTTTTCGCCTTTTCTATGTTTCTAGTAATGAGATCATGATCCATGAAGAACAACCCAATCCTAATCAAGTGGAAAATAATGTCGAGACGGTGCCCCAAAGACACCGTCTTGTCGTACGTCTGCCTGAAAGTGGTGACAGCGTTTTCTTTGTCCCCAATCCTGCTATAATACTCGGCTTTTTTTAAATAGGCTTCGCGCACTTCCATCTCCCCCAGATTTTTCTCAGCGTCTTCAATCGCGGCGTCCAGTTTCTTGATTTCTTCGGCGTTCTTGGCCTGGATGGTTTTGAGAAAGTTGGCGTCTTTTTTCCAGCCGGCGTCTTTGATGATGAGCTCGTACCAGGGGGCCATGTCTAACAAAAACAAAAAGTGAGGTTATGTCAATTGAATTTGGTCACAAACGGGTTTTTTTACTTAATTTACAAAAACAAATGTGTCTTTGGGGTTTCTATTAAAACAATGAAACGTTTGTACTTCCATTTGTGTCTTTTTTGCCTGCCGATTACGTTATTACTCAGCAAAACAAAAAGTGAGGTTATGTAAACTTCACCGAGAAAGACTGTTTTTTTCGGGTAATTTTGCAAACGATGTGTGTTTTTACGTGTTTTATGGACGCAAAAGTTTGTTTTTTCGCGTCTTACCGTCTTTTTTGATGGCTTCTGTGATTTTTTGGTGCACGAAGCGGTCATTTCGATATTCGGGTAAAGTTAACAGAAATTTATAATGGGCTAGTTCGAGGTCTGGGTTTTTCTCCAGCCCTTGGTCTTCCAAGTTTTCAATGGGCATTTTGTGGGTTTTTCAAATTTTGTAGCACAAAGCACAAGTCACTGACTCTGACGATCACTGTTTGCAAATGTCAATTGTCAATCGATTTGACATATGCGCAGAGGATTGGGGCGGGGCCAAGGAGTACGTTCGAGTCCTTGGAGTGCGTTGCGTAACAACACGAAAAAAATCAATGAAAGATTCACCATCCTTTACAATGTCGTTAGAGATTAAAAGCAGCACTAAACCCGATTTATTTATTGTTATTATCATTCTCTACCAAATTCTGTGGTTTCTAGTCGCCGCAAAAATATTTAAGATCTCATTAATCTCCCCCTTCGTGGCCACATCCAGCCTTCCGCAAGATGAATGGAACGGATCGACGGAACGACTCTCCGAGCCCCTCACAACTCACAAACACCGGAATTGGAGCAAGAAATATAGGGGTAGTAGATCAAGCCGTGACGGACGGAGAGCGCAGATGCGGATGGCGCGGGCGACGGAAAGAGAGCGCGTTTCGCTGGAGATGAGCGTAATGGGGTATAGCACGGGCTAAATGAAAAGTTGACCTTAAAAAATTGCGAGAAAACGGTAAAAAATGACAACGTTCAGACGGGCGTATTAATGAGGGAAGGCGGCGGAGAAAAAGCGGCGCAAGAAGTTTGTCCAAGGTGAGTTTTAGTGGATGATAACTAGGGTTAGGGGCGCAAAAAGCGTGTTTGCGAATATAAAAATTTTCAAGAGGTTTTTTGCGCCGCACTCCGCTTAAATGGTTCAGTCTGGCTTTTTAATTTGTGTTTTCGGGTGCAATAATGATATTTGTTGATTTCAACAGGGAGAAATTCTAGTTACAGAAACCAAATGACTGCGAAATTAATGAATCATTATGAATAATAGAGTTAGTAGAAATGCAATTAAATACCGCACATTAAATTAATTGGAAATATGTTGGCGAGTATTTAGAAAATTAGTTTTACCCAAGAGCTTCCGATATACTGGGTGTCTGAAAAATGGCGGATTAACTCTTCAGTACGTTATGTACGGGGGTTTTGGGATCCCCAAAATAAAACAACGTGTTATTATTTTTCATAAATAAATAAACCAAAAAAAATGTATGTAATAAGACATTTATAAATTATTTATAAAAAGTGCATTTTATATTGAACAACAGTGGAGCCTAAACAAAAACCTAAAACTAACTCCACCCACTTTCGGTTTTGAATTTCATTGGCTTTTTTGATTAGATGGAAATTGAATTTTATTTTGTGATGTGGCCGAATCTGTTTATAAAAATTCAAAGTGGCCCCGCTCACCCACCCGGTTTTCCTCCTAATCACTCATTCTATTGGACAAAAGTGATGAACAAATAGTGATAAACAAGAAAATCTAGACAAAAAACGTAAAACTAATCGCAGCCACCACCGCTTTTGAATTTCTTTGTTTTTTTTTATTAGATTTTACTACGTCAAGTGGCGAATTAGACTTAAAAAATTCAATGTGGCCCCGCCCACCCACCCGGTTTTCTTTTTGGTCACTAATTTGATTGGACGAAAAGGGTATTTTATATTGAACAACAGTCGAATCTAAACAAAAACCTAAAACTAACTCCACCCACCTTCGGTTTTGAATTTCACTAGCTTTTTTGATTAGATGAAAATTGAATTTTATTATATCATGTGACCGAATCTATTTATAATAATTCAAAGTGGCCCCGCCTCGTCCACCCACCAGATTTTTCTCATGATCGAACTCATTTTTTTGGACAAATTTTGGACAAAAAGGGAGTTTTATATTGATTAACATTGGAATGTAGACGAAAAGATAAAACTAACCCCACCCACCTCTGGTTATGCATTTCATTGGTTTATTTGATTAGATTATGACTGAGTATTAAGTACTATGTCAAATGGCGAACTAGATTTACAAAAATTTTAAATGGCCCCGCCCACCCACCCTGTTTTCCTCCTAATCACTCATTCTATTGGACAAAAGTGATAAACAAATAGTGATTAACAAGAAAATCTAGACAAAAAACGTAAAACTAATCCCACCCACCACCGCTATTGAATTTTATTGTTTTTTTTATTAGATTTTACTACGTCAAGTGGCGAATTAAGCATAAAAAATTCAAAGTGGCCCCGCCCACCAACCCGGTTTTCTTGTTGGTCACTCATTTGATTGGACGAAAAGGGCATTTTATATTGAACAACAGTGGAATCTAAACAAAAACCTAAAACTAACTCCACCCACCTTCGGTTTTGAATTTCATTGGCTTTTTTGATTAGATAGAAATTGAATTTTATTTGGTCATGTGACCGAATCTATTTATAATAAATAATAGTTTAAAAAACTAAAAAAACACGCTTTTATTGCTAATCGAACTAAAAACTAGAAAATAATTTTTTATGACAGAGTTTAATATTACAGTAGTAGAAGATCAAACAATCAATCATAATAAATCACCTCAAATTAAAATTATAATAAAATTTAAGTTTTTAACAGAATAATTCAATTCAGAGTAAAAAGCGTGGGGTGCTTGATATTTTAAATATTACAATCATTCTATTGGCAACTATCTATGAGAGGATAGTTATGAACCACAGTAAAATGCACCCCACGCTTTTTACTCTGAATTGAATTATTCTGTTAAAAACTTAAATTTTATTATAATTTTAATTTGAGGTGATTTATTATGATTGATTGTTTGATCTTCTACTACTGTAATATTAAACTCTGTCATTAAAAATTATTTTCTAGTTTTTAGTTCGATTAGCAATAAAAGCGTGTTTTTTTAGTTTTTTAAACTATTATTTATTTTTCATTTTTTAGTCTGCGACAAATTCATAAATTGGGGAATTAATTACTTATTTAGATTTTTCTAGAAAGAACCACTCAGTGGTCTCCGTAGGATCGAGGATCCTGGCGGTCCTAATAAGGATAATGGGAAACTGTTATCAAATTATTGCATTGTCATCGATCCTTGAGACGTGTGCAAAGTTTCAAGATGATCAGACTTTTAGAAACCGATGAAAATTAAGCTCAAAGATTCCGTTACATACATACATAGATACAACCCCCAAGCGTGATAAAAATTCAAAGTGGCCCCGCCCACCCACCCGATTTTTCTCATGGTCACTCATTTTTTTGGACAAAAAGGGAGTTTTATATTGACAAACGTTGGAATCTAGACGAAAAGGTGAAACTAACCCCACCCACCTCCGAGAATGTATTAAGTGAAATTTCCTTGTACATTTCGGACCGTAAAAGTCACTCATGCTTTCATTTCTTCGATAACTCCAATGGTTTTTCCAGAATCGTCGTATGAAAATTACAAATCTATGCAAAATACGACCAATTTTCGACCAATTTTCAACGAAATTTTTGAAATTTCACTATATACATTTTCTTGTAGATTTCGTGCCGCAGAAGTCACACCCGCTTTCACATCTTCGATAACTCCAATGGTTTTTCCAGAATCGTCCTTTGAAACTTACAAATCTATGCAAAATACGACCAATTTTCGACCAATTTTCAACGAAATTTTCGAAATTTCACTATATACATTTTCTTGTAGATTTCGGGCCGTAGAAGTCACTCCCGCTTTCATTTCTTCGATAACTCCAATGGTTTTTCCAGAATCGTCCTTTGAAACTTACAAATCTATGCAAAATACGACCAATTTTCGACCAATTTTCAACGAAATTTTCGAAATTTCACTATATACATTTTCTTGTAGATTTCGGGCCGTAGAAATCACTCCCGCTTTCATTTCTTCGATAACTCCAATGGTTTTTCCAGAATCGTCCTTTGAAGAGTATAAATCTATGCAAACTACGACCAATTTTCGACTAATTTTCAACGAAATTTTCGAAATTTCACTAAATACATTTTCTTGTAGATTTCGGGCCGTAGAAGTCACTTCCGCTTTCATTTCTTCGATAACTCCAATGGTTTTTCCAGAATCGTCCTTTGAACAGTACAAATCTATGCAAAATACAACCAATTTTCGACCAATTTTCAACGAAATTTTCGAAATTTTACTATATATATTTTCTTGGAGATTTCGGGCCGTAGAAGTCACTCCCGCTTTCATTTATTCGATAACTTAAACGGTTTTTCCAGAATCCTCCTTTGAAAATTACAATTCTATGCTAAATTTGACCAATTTTCGACCAATTTTCAACGAAATTTCCGAAATTTCACTATATACATTTTCTTGTAGATTTCGGGCCGTAGAAGTCACTCCCGCTTTCATTTCTTCGATAACTGCAATGATTTTTCCCAAATCGTCCTTTAAAAAGTACAAATCTATGCTAAATACGACCAATTTTCGACTAATTTTCAACAAAATTTTCGAAATTTCACTAAATACATTTTTTTGTAGATTTGGGACCGCAAAAGTCACTCCCAATTTCATTTCTTCGATAACTCCAATGGTTTTTCCAGAATCGTCCTTGGAAAATTACAAATCTATGCAAAATACGACCAATTTTCAACGAAATTTTCGAAATTTCAGTATATACACTTTCTTGTAGATTTCGGGCCGTAGAAGTCACTCCCGCTTTCATTTCTTCGATAACTCCAATGGTTTTTCCAGGTTTTGGATTTCACTGTTTTTTTTTGAATAGATGAAGACTGAATTTTATTATGTTAAATGGCGAACTATATTTACAAAAATTCAACCGGTTTACCTCCTAATCACTCATTCCATTGCACAAAAGTGATAAACAAATAGTAATAAACAAGAAAATCTGGACAAAAAACGTAGAGCTAATCCCATTTTTCCTACTCTTTTGACACTCATTTACTTCATTTATTAAGTATATGTTCGATATCCGTGGAAGTAGAACTTATTAATAAGTACTTTCAATTAAAAAGGGAATAATTTTACAGCAACTGCATGAATCCTTCTCACCTGTAAGTTTTAGTAAAATACCTAATCCTCTTTACGAATTCCAGCGACTACATTAAATTCTTAGATACCATAAAACGTCAACTTTTTTTTTCAGTTTTCCGATACATATTTAGATTTCTGATTTTCCGATTATACAGTTGTACAATTTTCCGATTTCTCATTTATCCGATTTTTCAATTT